TCGGATGTTTTTTAAAGCCATTAAATTTATTTTAAGATGAACATAATATATGATTAATCAATATATATATATATATATATATATATATATATTATAGTATAAAGTTGTCAATAGATTTTAGAAGCAATCGTCAAACATAATGAAAAACTATTAAATTTGATCACTACGCGACTCAACAAAGAAACCTTATTTACAATTAAAATGCTCTCCACGAGGAAAACAAAGAAAAAAATTGATCTATTTTAAAAATAAAAATACAGGAAGATGAAAATACCGTTGATCAAAATGTGTAGGCAAGACAAGCACAAGTAAAGAACCATCCTATGAAAAAGGTCAATTTTGATGCTATGGCCAATGAAGAAAATCAAAATATTTATGCCAATGTCTAAATCCATCAACTATACATTTTTTTTTTCCAAGTCGTGGGGTATCTAAAAAGTTCATGAAGAAGAAAGGTATATGTCCATGGATTGCATAAACCCTATGCATTCATAGTAACCTGAAATAGTTTAATCAGATCATAATAAGAGACTAAATAAGGTTCTATTAACGTTATCACGAAGTAACTTGATACTTACAAAAAGCTTAATGTCATCCAGTGCCAAAAGTCCCCTAGAACAAGCATCAAACCTAGTGAATCATTCTACGGCTCTTGAACATGAGAAAAAAATTCATAGTAACCTGAAATAGTTTAATCAGATCATAATAAGAGACTAAATAAGGTTCTATTAACGTTATCACGAAGTAACTTGATACTTAAAAAGCTTAATGTCATCCAGTGCCAAGTCCCCTAGAACAAGCATCAAACCTAGTGAAAAATTCTCCGGCTCTTGAACATGAGAAAAAAATAAAACAAATTATTGTATCACCCTATGAAAGTGAGAGGCCGCCCTAATAATCCAAGTATCCAACATATTCTCCTCTTTGACTGTTACAGAGATCATTGATACAATAAATGAAGACGTAGTATGCATAAAATAAAAAGGTGTTACTCACACTTTTCAAAGAATGGTGATATATGTGGACCACCATTATGGAAGTTGAAGAACATTGGAGCTTAAACTTTTTTAGGTTTCTAGATTGTGTTGGGCTTGCCTACTTTTTGATTATGAGTTTTTCATCTACTTTTTTTGTCTTAAAAAGCTGAGTTATTCAGTATTTTCCTTATGAAGAGCATTGTGATTGTTAAATAAGGTCTTGATGAGTAATGTACTGATCAAAATCAGTACATTTTTTAGTATGAGGTAAAACATTGCTCATAAAATATATTCACTTCATAGTACTAAACCTTCAAAGTTGCCACATTTCATTTTTTTGCCTTACTTGACATGTTATCAAGATATGATCAACAAAAAACATTTTCATAGCTTTGTGTTGTCCTTAAAAGCATTTTGGAGTAGAAAACTTCAAACTAAGTGTTTCATCGCCATCTCAACCTCAACATCAACTTTGAGGGATGTTGTTACTTGCTCTAGTGATGCTGCCTCTGTAAGAGGCTCTCTGAACTTATAGATATCGCTGTTTGTGATCTGAAGCAACTTTACAATAAAACTAACTACTTCATAATTCCCACTTTCTTAATTCTATCCAGGAGTTCCTCATTAGGAGTTCAATCTTGCTCATTACCATTGCCATCAATTTCATTGGTGCGGTCAGCTACCCTACAACTTCGGTCTCTCATTAACCAAAGTGTTGACTTTGGCGGTACCGTCATCACTAGCAATGATGACTTCATCGACAACTTCTCCGACAACCTCTAAAATAGGGCTTCTCAATGTTGCCAAGTTGATCCTCCTCTACTTGGAGACTTCACAACCTCCCATTTAAATCAATTCACGTGCCTGGAGGTTCCATTCCATTAGTTTTAGGATGATAGAAATCAAATTGAAGGCCAACTCTAAGAAGTGCTGAACTCTAAGAACTTGTTGATCTTTGATATAAAAGAAGACTCGCGCTCCCATTGTCTTCGAAGGATTGTTAACCTTCATTGAACACTACCCAGAAGATCCTCAAGTGCCATCATTTGAGAGCATGTTCATGTGACAACTTTATTTCTCTAAGGAGCTTCTCACCAACCACCTCCTCGGGGCTAAGGACTTCAATAGCCACTTGCTAGGTGGAAGGTCCTGCTCCTACCACCACTCCTAACACTAGCTTCTTCCATTGGTGCAGTCCCCACCATTAGTGGTGGCATTTATGTAATATGGATGCCTGGGTAGCCATTACAACCCCACATATTTTAACCTCTCTAAATCTCCCCATAAACTTTATAGTACAACAGAACATGTGAGAAGATCAGACTTCTCATCTTGCAAGAACACAAATTAATAAAAAAATAAAATTAATAAATCAAAGAAAAACAAATGATGAACAAGTAATAAAAATTATTAAAGCTAGAATTCAACTATCCATTGATAGGTTTTGGCGAAGGCGGGTTTACCAATTATCATCTTTTTGAAGATCCGGATGACTTTCAAATCCAACGTTCTAGATCACCGGTGCCAAATTGAATTATTTGTATTCATTATGCTACTCTTCTCGTCTTCTCCTAACAAATATGAAAATGGCATAATTGATGCATATCCATATTTGTCTATTTTAGGTTTAATAAAATCAATACAAGAAAAAACATCGGTTCAATGAATCATTGATTTTCCTAATCTTCTCAAATTCTCCCAAGGAACATTAGAATGGAGGAATTAATGTATAGCTATAGTATCATAGGCTAGTCTAAATATGCTAAAAAACTAAATCTAGTTTAGCAAGTCACTGACAATGAACTAACTCGAAACTTGCCAACCTTGAAGTTGCCTGGAACTACAACTCATCAAGTTGCCCTAGCGATGAAATATATTTAATAGTCATATTTAGATACAAAACTCACCAAAATGACTCGTAAAATCATTGCTCCTCAAAGCTAATTGTACATAAAATTTAACTAATCATCCAAAATAATTATCTACAACTAAGAGTTAGTGGCAAAAGAGCTTGTCAAGGCAATTTACACTCAATTTAGAACTCACTCAAAGTTTTAACATAGTGTACAGCTGTTTGCAAGACTTACCCAATACACAAACAACTATATAGTCCGCTCACGTACTTACACCATCATCATGTAGCTCGTCCTGTAATGCCAACCCTAGCCCTCATCTAGAAATATGAGGTCACTAGTCAGATGAGCATGAAGTAATCATATAGTTTTGGCCAAAGTTTTGTCCCATGAAAATATTTCTAGATACCATGACATATTATTTCTCACATATCATTCCCTAAGCTAGTTTTGCTTGCCCTTTTCGCACACGGTTCAACTGAGCGTACATTATCATTCCCTAAGCTAGTTTTGCTTGCCCTTTTCGCAAACGGTTCAACTGAGCGTACATTAAAACATTTAAGAAAACTTCCGAGCTTTATTCTACTTTCTTGGACTTGATCCATATCTATAGTGAAGTATTGATACTTTTCACAGACAACATTGCATCTAACAAGGCCTTCAACATTTTTGTATTCATGGCAAACATGTCAAATACATACCCAAATAAATAAAAGAAATCAAGTAGGACCTAATGAATATCCTCCTTTTGAATTAGATCCTAGGAAGCATAGGACTTAGATTGGTACTCATACTAATAACCAATCCCCATCAGATATTGATAAAAATATTAAATATATTTTATTTCTTAAATCTAAAGCAACAAATAATTTAAATGCCATGTCGAGGAATCAGTGAGTTATACCTAACATATTGAATATATGCTTGATTCGGAACCAAGCAGATCAATAATGATCCAACAAAAGTGACACGTTACTTGAAATTTCGGTAATAATCAACTAAAGCATTACTACTTTGTTGATCTTAGTATCATTGTATCTATCTGATGCATTACAAGTCCTCAAAATATCTAGCTCACTACTAAACATTAATCATTCTAAGCCTTGACCATTAATTTGCTTTTTTTGGTATTTGTTGGAGAGACAATGATTATGGTGAAAATGAGGATGCTAAGATGAATCTTCAGTAAAATTATGAATGATATAGCAAGCAAATACTATATTGGAGGGTTGATGGTATTATCCTAAATTAAGATGTGAAAGTTAAAAAAAGAGTTGGGTACTTTGGGAATGTCCAACAGAGGTAGCAGATGCAAGTAATAATATAGTTAAGGTTGATGAGAAAAGACTGAAAAAAGGATAGAAACAAAAGTATCATAACTAGAAGTTGGGTAAAAAAGTGAAAATTTGAATCAATACCCCATGCGGCACTCACAGAAATGAACTAGAGTATTCATAAAGCGGAAAACAAATATTGTAGACGCAATTAGAGCTTGATGGGAAGGTACCGAAGGGATTGCAGCGTGGACTCTAGCAATACACTCGCGGTTAGAGCTTAATGGGAAGGCAACGACGGAATTGCGACTTGACTTTTGGCATGTTAGGATGCAAGCCAGCAAATTCACAAATTGATCAAAAGGGAAAGTTGAGCGCAGAGGCAAGAGAGTCAATTGATTGCGAGAGATACCAGAGGTTGGTAGGTCGACTCATCTATCTGAGTCACACTCATCCCGACATATCATTTACAGTAAGCGTAGTGAGTCGCTACATGCATAATCTAAGGAAGTGTCACATAGATGTTCTGTATCACATTTTGATATACCTAAAAAATGCACCATAAAAGGGGTTGCGCTGATGACAGGAGATCCACATCTGGATACTGCATGTTTGTAGAGGATAACCTGGTCTCTTGGCAGGGTAAGAAATAGCAAGTAGTAACAAGGTCAATAGAGGAGGCAGAATATAGGGTCATGACCTTAGGAGTTGCCGAGAAGATGTGGCTAAGAACCTTATTGGTAAAGCTTAAGGTGGACCAAGGAGCACAAATGAAGTTGTGGTGCGACAACAAGTCAACACTCAACATTGCCAACAACCCGGTGCAACACGATAGAACCAAACACGTGGAGATTGATAGGTTCTTCATCAAGGAACAACTGAATAATGGACTATTGGAGCTATGTCATGTAGCCACTAGAGAGCAAGTGGCTGACTGTCTCACAAATGGGCTTAGCTCATTAGATTTGTCTAAGTTATGTGATAAGATGGGTTCAGTGGATATCTTTCGCCCATCTTGAGGGGGAGTATTGATATTTGTATCTAGTTTAAAGTCCTGATTGTAAATAGGAAATTCAAAAGATGTTTAGGAATTTATTTATAAAAGGTTGTGAAGTCCTATATAAGCCAATGTGTTTAATCAATAGAACAAGATTTCAAGAGCAATTATTTCTTTATACACTGTATGTAGTAGCCACAAAAGCAATACACAATCAAGGGCCTTAAAAAAATGCATGATTAATCAAGACCATCTAAAAGTTTAATTTCTATAGATGGGAGTACCTCAATAAAATCAGATACCGTTTGCCCTATGCTGGAGGCATTGATGTTTAGCTCCAATTTTTCAAGCTCTGCTTGAAGCTCGGCCTCTATTTCACTGAGTGCCTCTGGGTTCTCCCCAGCTTTAATGATTTGTTCATCCATTTTCGGTGCAGCAACATTCCAATTTGAATTTTGAAAATTGTCGATGGATTTGTCGAGCTTATAATGTCCAGGTTCTTTGTTTCCATCAGTTTCATTACCTATCTCCTTCACAGTCAACAAATCTTTCATCTCAAGCTCTTCATGTAAATCTTGAACAAGGTTTTTATTGTCATTTAACATCTTCTTTAACTTCTCTACTTCAATTTTATTTGAGAGACTAGAGGATGTAACCCCTATAGCGATCCCTAGTAAGAAAAGCAACATTCCATCAAATGAACCTGCAGAAAATTAGCAAGCACACAAACAGAACGCCAGGTTAGACTTGATAATGATATTGGCATGATAGAAAGTTAAAAGAGAAAAAATGCAATTTTTATGTATGATAAAAAGTATGAGAAAAAGTTGACTTCTATGATGTAAATAAAATGTGTGATGCACAAAAGGGACTAGGTTTACATGTAATGAGAATTTAGGTAAACAGCCTCAAGATGCACGGTTACAACAATTCATGCAATTTAACATATTAACTTCAAAGGCAATGTAAAACTTTTCCCAATCAACATAAAACATTTACAGAAGATATATAAAGGCTACCATGAGGATCAGTCTATTTTAAAGCATGAAAATGACCTAAATTTCTGATTGAATATCAAACAGCATCCTTATTGTTTATATCAGCACTAGATTAAGGAATGAATAACGAAGAGAAAAATGACCCGTAAGGACGATGCTCCTACTCAAGTTTTCAACACAATAACCACAAAACAATTTCAAATTAAACTACATAAGTATGTTATAAATGTTGCATTATATAGATGAGCATCCCCACTATATGAGTTGACCTGATCATTGAGCAGGCCGTGCTATAGCTGGCCAAGTGTTTTGATGTTGTCCCTGGACTCGGCTACGCCCCTTTAAGGCCAAATACTACAGCCATACCAGGCCCATCATCGAAATGGGTATGCTAGCATGGCTTTTCTCTTTCATTCCCTTTCATACAACTTATGTACAAATCACACCTCCCCATTTTCTTTTACCCGGTTGATCTGCTCTTCCCAACACACGACTCCTTTCACTTCAAAGTTGCTAAAACACACACACTTCATATAATCAATCTTCTCTGGCACTTGATTTTTGGAGACAGATTATTAGGAGAGCAATTTTCCCACACCACCAAAAATAGAAGTATGCTACTTGTAATAAATTAAGTTCTTAAATAAACATTTAACCATAAGTTTAAAAATTTTACAATATAATATTTAAAAGACTATTTGTAGCAGTGAATTCCTCTTTAAAACATTAAATTTATGGAATATGAATAGACATACCACTCAATTCTTATGTATTTACATATAGAACACCTAAATTTTAATTTTTAAATACATAACATCTTGCCCATACATGAAAAGATGTATTTCACCTTTTAAAAGTTAAAATGGTGATACTTTTTATGTGCATGAAAGGTTTATGTGATATATATGTAAAAAAGCAAAGTTTAGGAGCCAAATATGTAAATACATAAGAATTGGGTGAAATGTATGTAAATGCCCCTTTTATAAGTTTGTTTTATTTTATTTTACTCATATTTAATTCGCTCAATTACTTTAAATTTCTACGTTGTTCCCTTCTCTATTGCTCTTCTCTATTTTTTTATTTTTATTTTTTTTATGTTCCCTTCTCTATTGCTCTTTTCTTTTTTTTTTTCTTTTTTTTTGTTCTTATCTAATGTTCTACTGATGATTCTTTTAGATAATCCTATTTTGAGCTTTTTGATATGCTAAACCTGTTTTATTCAAAAGTGAATACTGATGACAATCTGGAAGGAATATCTTTCATGAATATAAGATAGAAATGGAACACAAGCTTATACAAAACAGCATAAATAATAAAAATTTCCAGCTATGCAGGATTACATGACTTTTGAGTTAGACTGGCTCTGGCCACAATTTGGCTAAAATAACACAATCATCCCTAGCTCAAGCAATATTTAGGCCCAAGCCATAAACCCAAGTTTTTTTTTTCGAATCTCAGATAAATATATGGTGGCTTGAATAGCCCATTGAGCTACCCAATTATTGATCAGGTTTAATTTTGAGTTGGCTTCACAAATCCTCATCCATCCATCAAGTACAACAGTAAGTGTTCAAACTATTTTGTGTTTTTTTTTTTTTGTATAATTTCAATAATTGTCACTTTCACTACTAATTTTATTTATAGTAGTTAAACACTAATTTTATTTACATGCTTTATTGGCGTGTCTTCTGCCCTTCATAATATATGCCCAAACTACAACAATTTACTTTCCGCAACCTTATCTTCAATGAAAGCTAGTCCCATTGCTCTCAATCTTTCCTTCTCAATGTTGCCACACATGCAGCTTGGAATTCTCATTATGTCACACTCAGCTTCCCTATCAATTAATTCTTTATTTCCCAACGCCTATATGAATACAACATAGCCAACACAACTGAAATTTCATAAAATTTAATTGAATGCCTCTATGTAACAAATCAAAATGATACAATCCCGAATACATAAAAGATAAACACCTACAATTTGAGAGAGAGAGTCAATTTTTCTCAAAACCTAGCCCTAAGACTTAAAACAACTATCACACATAACATAACCCTAACCTAAACATATTGAGTTTTGTTTATACCACACAATAATAACTAACAAATGACTAAATTGCCATTTTAGACTCGCGTCTAACATAAGTTTTCAAATTATTTGGCGGATGACAACGTAGGCGCGGGTATAACATTACCACCCAAAAAAATCCCATTAATCTCAAAGTGAAAGAAAAGAAATTAATGTTAGATTAAGTCGTATGACTCCCATGTGACATCATAATCTGGAAATCTTTTCCATTTAATCAACACTTCTTTCTCACCTGTCGATTCCTAGCACACCTTTTTTAACTCAAGTGGCTCCAAGAAAACTTCTATATCCTTATCCTCTCCCATTTAATCAACACTTCTTTCTCACCTGTCGATTCCTAAGAAAACTTCTATATCCTTATCCTCTCCCAGGAAGTGTTTGATGCATAAAACATGATATATTTGTGTAACCATGTTCTTATTGTGCATAATTATCCCAACATTCAATCACTTACAACAACAATAGATTATGTACAGATGATCCATCATCCATACTCCGCGCGTATGGATGACCGTCGTAATATTCTCTCCAAAAATTGAGCTAACAACAACGAAAATAACTAATTTAAAAGGGATAATTGCATACATAGCACCGGATACATAACTATCTACAAAATCTAATGCCCATGTAAAATTTTGAACTATCGAATCAATGTATTTACGCATGCTACCATTAAACCATTGAGAACTTGATAAAAATAAAAAATATGGGTTGATGAATTTTGATATTTCAGTGAGAATTAGAAAAAAAGGGGACAATTCCATGCAGGGTACCCAAAACATTGCTATTTACAAATCAAGCATCCTCTTTCATCTATTTTTCAATTTCTCACTCAAATATCAAAGGTCATGATCAAACCCCAGCCCATATTTTTTATTTTTATCAAATTCACAATGGTTTGATCAAATGCTTATGGCAAGCCTCATGATCTTGGAGCCTCACAAAGCATCTTGACAATATTTAATAAGATAAAATTCCATCCGCACAAGTGAGCACGGACAACAATATCCATATCCTGAACAGTTGTTCTATCTAGTCAGCCTTCTCAGTCCTCCAATGCCTTAATTCTTTAAACACTTGCGCAGGGTGGACCCAAGTACGGTCCAAAGGGGCAATTCATCCCGCCCCACCTCCCTCAAATTCAGATTTTTACCTATATGAGAGGGCAATTTGGTTTTTTGTCCTTCCTTAAATATTAGTTTTGCCCCTCCTGAAATATCACTTTGCCCTACGTTGCCCTAGCCCCTCCCACATTGGGTCCCCAGATGGCGCAAGGGAGGCGGCCCCCCCCCCCCCCTCCTCTATTTAAATATCACTTCCACCTCTGCACCTGTGGTTCCATTGAACCCAAAAAAAGTTGAAGAAACCCCCAGTCATCTACTGCTCCAATTTAAAATGGAAGCACATATTTATATATTGAAATCGAGTTAACAAGTTCTCATCATTATTTGCAAAGCTCCATTTTGCCTGAACCATAGCAAGATTTGGATTTCCATTGAAGTGAGTAACTGCTTTCTCAAGAAAATCTAGGCTTGGTTGAAAATCAACATCAAACATAGCTACAAATTCGTAGTTCTTCACATAGTCACAACTCACAGCGGATTTGAGGTTTCATGCCTTAATTCCCGATCGAGATAAACGATGCCTGTAGACAATATTTTTTTCATTTTTAACTCCATTTGGAAACCTCAACTTGAATTAAGAGATGGGTTCTCTCATCATCTGAGTCATCCATAACTTGGATCAAGATCCTATTGTTTCTCGAATCAAGTTGACAGCCATTAGTAATCGATTGCTCGTATCTTCTAATATTTGTTGTGTTGGTCATTATGTCCCTCTTTAATGACTTCTTGGCACCTGGACCTTTCCCCTTTCATCTACCACATCTCAAGTAGACGACAATAAAAGAGCTAGTCGAACACTGAAACCAGAAGTGTTGGATGCGATTGAGATAAATACAAGCCATACTTCTGATATTCTTAGCAGAGCATTGGATGGCAAGCTTGTGGAGAAAAGCAAATTGAAGGAGAAGAAGGAAGTGAGTTATGTTCCAGATGAGAAGGACAAGAAGATTTTAGGGAAGAGCTTTTTGTTGTTCTTTTCCTGCTTGTAGAGGAATTTCAACGCCGTCAGGAAGAAGATCCAGATGCAGCGGAAAGATTGCAGGAAGGAGTTCTGGCGGCTAGGGCCTGCAGGGAAAGGAAGTGTTTAGAGCTTGTAGGGAGTGGGTTCTAGCAGCTAGGTCCTGCAAGGAGAGGAAGTTTCCGGCGTCTAGAGCATGCAGGGAGAGGAAGTTCCTTGCGGAAAAACTAAAAAGAGGAGGCAGAGGAAGAGCCTGCAGCACTGCAAAGATTGTCAGCTACAGGGAATAAGGAGCTTCTGGAAACAGGAGACTCTAGCGTTTGTTTCAAAGCTCTGATACGATGTTGAAATTTAGAATGATATGAAAAATTTTTATTTATATGAAAAAATGATATAAATAACTCTTACATGAATCCTAATATAAGAAATACAATAAAAAAGAAATAACAAAAAATGAAGATATAACATCTAATATCTACAATTATTCAATTCATATTAAATGTTTTGGAGATAAAAGAAACAACATAAAATAGGAAAGAAAATAAACCAAATCCAATAAAATAAGTCTAAAATAGAAAATAAAATATTTTTATATTAGGAAATAAATCCAATCTCATAACTTCTAACAGGAATAAATTATTTCCTAATATAATTCTAACACACAAAATAAGACATTTCCCTTTCGAGTTTTTTCATCAATTTCCACACAAAATCAAGTATATAAAACTCATAAACTCAATTCCCTAAAATCACCACAACCCCAATATCTCCTTATTCTTGAATAGAGCAAAAGTACTTCTCTAATCATTTATGTCATCTTAGTCTATAAACTTTTTTAAAAAAACCTTCTTAACCAAACTACTCTAATAACACCCATGACCATTTAAATTTCCTCTAATATCTCATTTGGGCCCAAACATTAACAGTTGTACAAATCTTCATCATAGCTAACTTCACTACCCTCTTTGCCAAACTTAATAACTTCATTACAATCCTTGTAAATTATTATATTATTTCCTTCTTTGCACTCCTTAAAAGCGCGTTTATTTTTCTTAATAAGCTCTTTTTTTAATCTCGTTACTCCACCAACAAACTCCTTATATATGATAATGTTCTTTTGGATAACAGTTTTAAAATTAAACTAGCATCTTATCCTAAATTAAGTTTGGCTTAATTACAAAACCTTAATTTGCACATTTTAACAACCCATCTTGAAAATTTAACCTTTCGTGCTCCACTATTTTATCCCAAGGAAATTAGAAACCTCCCAACTTTTAAGTTCTCACTTTTATCCACCAAATTTCAAACAAATATTCCATAACTACATTGAAAATCTCACACAGAACCTACAAGTACATTTAAATCACCCTGAATAATTTCCTTGTTCTTCAAGCATGAATGGTCATAGTGCATTATTTTTCCCAATATTGATTTTTCAAATTAACTTCAAAACTAATGTGAAAAACAAAAGCACTGATGGCATTTATAATGATTTTGCTATTCATATAATTAATAGAAACCACCCCATTAATAACCCTATTCAGGCCAAACATTTATTTAATTATTTTTAACATTCTATACACTATTATCGTACCTTTTCCTTTTATTAAGCCTCTACACATACAATAACTTGCAGTTTTTCCAAGAGCCTTGAATTTCTTCCCTTTCCATTCAGCTTCCTACAAACAAATTTGAGTATCCAACATTTAAATTATTTTACGGACATTTACATACATGCCACACATATGACACAATTCTTACGTATTTACACATCTACACCTAAATTTTCATATTTACATTTATAACACTTGAGGTGTTAGATATGTAAATGCATAAGAATTATGTGGTATCCATGTAAATTTCTAATTAATTTAATATTTACTGCATTAAGCATTCAATGCACAATGTTTTAAAAAAAAAACAAAATATATCCAATAGAAGAAACTATCCTTCATGGTTCCTAAGACATATGACCTCTATCCTTATCTATAATTCCCTCCATGTCCTATATGGTGCATTGATGCCAAATAAAAATTTTCAGTAAAATCAACTCAGCTGATAACCACATATCTCCAAGTAAATTTACCAAAAAAAATAACATGTAATTAAGCAAAAAGGAGAAACTGGAATTCATACCTAGCGCATCAGAAATCTTGCATAATTTTTGGGAGCTAACAGTATGTAGGGTGCCTGGCTTGGTTTCTTTACTCCTTATTTCTGCTTTTCTCAAAGTTTGTGGTGGAAGATGAGGAACACCTATCACTGTTATCAATTTGTCACTAACCTGGTCACATATTTCATCAAAAGACTCTTTTTTCTCAGACGATATGCTAGGGCTAACTTCATTTTCCTGTAGATTTTCAGGCTGTTCTACTAAAGAATCAACTTTTATTCTTCTTGTTTCTCTGCTGCTCGGTATAGGATGAGATAATCTCTCATCTTTTACATGTGATACAGGATGAAAGTTAAAAGTGTATTCTTCCACCTCAACTTTTTCACTACAAAGATGAGGCACAAAGATATTCCCATCAGAAGTTACAGGCCTAAAATTACATCTATCTTGCCTTTTTCTGGAACCAATCCAATTACTACTAGGGTTAATTCTTCTCGGAGAACCATTAGAAAATCCCCAATCAAAACTCCAGCCAACAGAGTCCTCTTTCCTCTTCAAGCATTTCGCCCTTTTGAAAATCCATGGCTGCAAACTCAACAACGAACCATTGTCCCTCACAAATTCTTCACCCAAAACTTCACTGTAAATCCCACTAGTAGAAGCCATCTCCTCTCTCCATGAAGATATATCTGAAGAACTTCTCATCAACTTAGTATGTATCTTTTCCGCATCAGAAGTAACGCCATTTTCAGCTTGTCCCACAAAGAACCTGCGAAAAGGGCAATCTCCAGCCTGCAATTTCTTCTGATCAACGCCCTTATCCATCAAATTCATTACGAATCACCTCTTCCAGAAAGAATACTTAATCTGTATATATGATCACCTACAACTTCTCCAACTTCCCTCTGAACAATAAGAGCGCCAATGCAAGTTCACAACAATGGCTACCCAAAAAACATGAATTATCACAAAAACAGTCATTTACTTAAACAAATCCCTTCTCCTGCTCCAATTACATCCCTGGAAGATTTCAGGAAACCTAAAACACCCGGTTCCCCAGCATCAGAAATCCGAACCGATGGAACTACTCCCCCATTCAAAGACATATCACGCAAGACTCTAAACCAGAAACAAACCCTAACATTCCGATTCAACTAGTTTCAATACCGTAAAATCCGACGAAAACGCAGAAAGAACGACACTCTTGGAGAACAAAGCCGCATTAAACAGAATGAGAAACCAAAAAACGATAAGAGTAAAACCACATCGAACTCAGCGAGCCACTCAGCTTAACCCATGGCCGCAAGAAGATCGGAGCAATCAACCTGCTCTCCCTCTTATCTCCATCGAAGAACAGAAGGAAAGCCCCAGAGCAGAGCTGGATATCACGAATTCCTGATCCGAACGCTATAATTTGAAAATAAACTATTTTAATACGCATATTATATTTTAATAATCAGATTCTCCGTTAATTTTTTAAACCAGAAAAATAAAAAATGTAGGCGATGGACTCATTCCTATTTTTTTTAAATAACACCTTTTCTTCAATAATTTTATAACTAGTTGCAAATGTCCCCAACATATCTTAAATGTACATTTTGAAGAGGATGCGAAAATATCAAATATTTTAGTTTTCATGTCATTTTAAAAAAAAAATCAAATATTTGTTTTGAATTTTGGTGCTTATGGGGCAATCAATACATCAAAATCCATCTTCCCATATTAATTTGCACAATCATCTTATATGGGAGTTGATTGGTGGGCAGTATTTGGAGTGCATTGCATTCATAATGCCGAGGTTTTGAAAATTCTATTAGTTGTTGGGAGGAAATCAAAATTCAATGTAAAATAGCGTTGTATTTGAAATTCAGTCATTAGTTCATTATCTCTGAATTCAGAATTTGTTTGATTTGGCTGAATTTTAAAACTATAATTGGGATTAAAATGTTGTCTGTCACCCCAGAGGTTTGATGTCAGTGCCCTCTGAACGTAGTAAGCACAGAAACTTTTGGGATCTTAGGTGTAAAGTACGGTCTTCATTGCTGACACCCTTTTAAAGTAGTCGTTATTTTGTATGGTTTATAGTCTCTACTATCTTCGTTATTGAAACGCTTAACAGAGTTTGTTTTGGGCGTTTGCTTGTTAAGCAACGGGTGCTCATTATATTAGGCAGGCCATTGGTCAGGATATCAGACAAGGCTCCCATATCTTAAAATAATAGATTACCGTTATTGAAACGCTTAACAGAGTTTGTTTTGGGCGCTTGGTGGTTAAGCAACGGGCGCTCATTATACCAAGCCGGCCATTAGTCAGGATATCAGACAAGGCTCCCATATCTTAAAAAAATATATTATCTTTGTCGTTTAAATAGTAAGACTTAACACAATTT